TCAAATTTTTAAAAAGGCAAAGCATTTTGAGATCGCAAGAACCTATGGACTGTAAGTTGCACCATGGTGGGGACCCTATCTGTATCACTCCCCACTGAGTTCATAGGTGACACATTTGCTGGAAGTAGAAATGAATAATGAATGAGTAGAAAGAAACAGGCAGGATGCTGACAGTCTCTTGGCACCTACTTTGAGTGAGGGAGTGAAAAGAAATATAAAAGTCTTTTAAAGCATTGCCATCTGCACAGATGTAGTAATAATGAATAGCATAAAAGCTATAGTTACTGAGCGCTTTCTATAATATTTGTAAGAGCCGCTACTGAGGGCTTCATATGATTGGCTCATTTTACAAAGGGTATAATTACAAATACTGTAATGTCCATGGGTCGAAATATTTAGAGAAGTAGGATAGGCTGAGGGTTTTGGAGTCTACAAATCTCTGAATTCAAATCTCGGTTCAACTCCCAGCTCTACCACTGTGTGGCTGTGAGCCTTTGGGCAAGAAAGTCTTGTCTCTGAGCCTCACTTTGCCTATCTGTAGAAATAGGAATAATAATCAAACATCTCCCTAGCACGTTTTACCACTTCCATCAGCCCGTGGGAACCCCGATGGCTTCCTCGATGAGAATAATAGATTGGTGCAAAAGTAATCGCGGTTTTTGCCATCAAAAGTAATGCCAAAAACCCGCGATTACTTCTGTACTAACCTAATACATGGTGCAGGGACCAAGTGTTGAGGACAGGCCCCCCAAAATCTGGCCATAAACTGGTCCTAAAACTTGCCATAAACAAAATCTCTGCAGCACTGTGACATGTTCGTGATGGCCATGGCGCCCACACTGGAAGGTTGTGGGTTTACCAGAATGAGGGCAAGGAACACCTGGCCCACCCAGGGCAGAAAACCGCTTCAAGTGGTTCTTAAACCACAAACAATAGCATGAGCGATCTGTGCCTTAAGGACACGCTCCTGCTGCATATAACTAGCCCAACCCATCCCTTTATTTTGGCCCATCCCTTTGTTTCCCGTGAGGAATACTTTTAGTTAATCTATAATCTATAGGAACAATGCTTATCTCTGGCTTGCTGTTAATAAATACGTGGGTAAATCTCTGTTTGAGGCTCTCAGCTCTGAAGGCTGTGAGACCCCTGATTTCCCACTTCACACCTCTATATTTCTCTGTGTGTGCATCTTTAATTCCTCCAGTGCCCCGACCAAGCTGGTCTCGGCACCAAGGACCTTATTTCTGATGGGGAAATTGAGGCCTGGAGGAGAAAAACTTCACTAAGTTCCCAGAGTTCAGTAGGAAGCTTTATAGTTTAAAAGTTAAGAGCGTTTATCTTGAAATCAGACTGATCTAAGTTCAAGCGCTGGTCCTACCACTTCCTGGCTGTGTGACCTCGGACAAGTTGCTTAAGCTCTATGAGCCTTGGCTTCCTAATCAGTATTAGGGGACATTAATAACACCTACTTCAAAGATGATTGTGAGGATTGAGTTAATGAAACCAGACAGTTTCAGGGCTCAATCCGTAAAGCCTAGTCCTGCTACTTACTGGCTGTGCGAATTTGGGCAAGTGGCTTAGTCTCTCTGAGCCTCAATTTTCTCTTTTATAAAATGGAATGATCAATAAATACAATAGTTCCCTCTTGAATATGTTGGGAGGATTAAAAAAGGATGAGTATGAACAGTACCTGACTCGTGTCAAGCTCTCATACTATCTAAATGTTAGGAATTCTTTCTTATTTATAAGGACACAGCCAGGTCTTAAATTCATGCATTTATTCAACAAATATTGACTGAGGTCTATTATGGGTTGAACTGTGTCCATAAAAGATATTCCAAAGTCCTAACCCCCAGTACCTCAGAATGTGACCTTCTATATGGAAATAGGGTCTTTACAGAAGGAATCAATTTAAAACAAAGTTGTCAGGGTGAAGTTACCTAATGAAGTCACCTAAGCCAACATGACTGGTATCCTTATAAAAGCATAAATTTAGACATAGAATCAGCCACGCACTAAGGGAAGATGATGTGAAGATACAGGGAGAAGATGGCCTTGTAATTAAAGTGATACAACTCTCATTCAAGGAACACCAACGATTACCAGCAAACACAAAAGACTGGGAGAGACAAGGAAGGACCCTCACCTAGGACCCCTGCAGCAGGCATGACCCTGCTGACACCTTGATGTCAGACTTCCAGCTTCCAGAATTACACAATAAACTTCTGGAGGGTTTTTGGACATTTTTATGGTAAAATATTGCATAACATAAAATTAACCATTTTAACCATTTTTAAGAGTACAGTTCAGTGGCATTGTTATGGGACCATCACCACTATCCATCCCCAGCTTTTTCATCATCCTAAACAGAAATCCTGTACCCATTAAACAATAACTCCCCATTCCCCCATCCTTCCAGCCCCTGGTAACCTCTATTCTACTTCCAATCTCCATGAATTTGCCTACCCTAGGTAACTTATATAAGTGGAATCATATAATATTTGTCCTTTTGTGTCTGGTTTATTTCACTTTGCATAACATTTTCAAGCCTCATCATGTTGGAGTTAGAATTTCCTTTCTTTTTAAGACTGAATAATATTCCATTGTATGGATAGACCACATAGTGTTTATCCATTCATCCGTTGATGGACATTTGGGTGGCTTCCATCTTTCAGCTATTGTGAATAATGCTGCTATGAACATGGGTGCATAAATATCTCTTCAATTCCCCGCTTTCAATTCTTTTGGGCACATGCGCAGAAGTGGAATGGCTGGCTCATATGGTAATTCTATGTTGGATTTTTTTTTTTTTTTTTTTGAGACAGCCACACTGTTTTCCATAGTGGCAACACCATTTTATATTCCCAATTTCTGTTGTTTTTAAGCCACTCAGTTTGTGACACTTTATTATAGCAGCCCTGGGATTTTTTATTTTTATTTTTATTTATTTATATTTTTTGAGACAGAGTTTTGCTCTTGTTGCTCAGGTTGGAGTGCAATGGCATGATCTCGGCTTACCGCAACCTCTGCCTCCTAGGTTCAAGTGATTCTCCTGCCTCAGCCTCCCAGCTAGCTGGAATTACAGGCATGTGCCACCATGCCCAGCTAATTTTGTATTTTTAGTACAGATGGGGTTTCTCCACGCTGCTCAGGCTGGTCTCGAACTCCCGACCTCGGGTGATCCACCTGACTTGGCCTCCCAAAGTGCTGGGATTACATGCGTGAGCCACTGTGCCTGGCCAGCCCTGGGATTTTAAAACAAGTATCTACTATGCGTCAGGCACTGGGCTCTGGCGATACCATGGTAAACCAGGGGGACAACTTCTTTGCTTTTGTGGTGCTTATCTCCTCATTGGAAAGGCAGAAAATAAATGAGTAACAGAATGTTGGGTGGTGATGAGTGCTGCAAAAGGAACAGCTCAGTTACGGGGCTAGGACATGTGTGCGTAGTGTGTATGCATGTGTGTGCATGCATATGTGCATTAAGGAAACAAGAAACAGGGGAAAGGAGGTATACTTGACCTAGTCTCCAAGTCTCAGATTGGATCAAGACACAGCCTGGGCTGCAAGGAAGGTGTGTGCACTAAAGAAACGTGAGTAAAGGCCAGGTGCCGTGGCTCACGCCTATGATCCCAGCACTTTGGGAGGCCGAGGCGGGTGGATCATGAGGTCAGGAAATCGAGACCATCCTGGCTAACACAGTGAAACCCCGTCTCTGCTAAAAACACAAAAAATTAGCCAGGCGTGGTGGTGGGTGCCTGTAGTCCCAGCTACTCGGGAGGCTGAGGCAGGAGAATGGTGTGAACCTGGGAGGTGGAGCTTGCAGTGAGCCGAGATCGTGCCACTGCACTCCAGCCTGTGCGACAGAGCGAGAGTCCATCTCAAAAAAAAAAAAAAAAAAAAAGAAACTGAGTAAAGGCTGGGCACCCACGTGGCAGCAACAGGGCCAGTGGTAGGGATCTAAGAGCGCCTCACTCTAGGTCAGTGGTTAAGAAACAGGCTGGGTGTAGTGGCTCATGCCTGTAATCCCAGCACTTTAGGAGGCCAAGGTGGATGGATTGCCTGAGCTCAGGAGTTCGAGACCACCCTGGACAACAAGCCAAAACCCTGTCTCTACTAAAATACAAAAAAAAAAAAAAAAAAAAATTCAGCTGGACCTGGTTGTGCACACCTGTACTCCCAGTTACTAGGGAGGCTGAGACAGGATAATCACTTGAACCTGGGAGGCAGAGGTTGCAGTGAGCCGAGATCTCACCACTGCACTCCAGCCTGGGTGACAGAGCGAGATTCCGTCTCAAAAAGAAAGAAAGAGAGAAAGAGAAACAGCCAGGGGCCTTGAGAATAAAATGCACTCTCCATAATTGTCCTCCCTGACCCTGCAACACCAGGCCCTGCCCACCTTGTCCACCTGGCACAGGCTCTATTTGTCACACGGCATGCTTTAGCTTTGTTAACCTGTTTTCAGGTCTTCTTGAAATATACCATGCTGGTTCCTTGTATATGGACCCTTTCTACTTGGACCTGTCCCCCCACCCTATTCTTCCTCTTCTCCATCCCTGAGGGATGCGCTACCCCCCAGGAGTTTTTCTGAAATGCCTGGGCTGGGGTAGGTCCTCTTCCTGACACTCTCCCCTAGAACAGAGCTTGTCACCAAAAGGATGCCCGGCAAATATTTGTTGAATGAATAAATGGGTAGATGAATGAAGCCCAGGCTCTGCCAAACCACCCTTCTTTACTTGTTCTTCCCCAGGTCCACGGAGATGTTTCTCTGTCTGCCATGCCTCAGAGCCTGACTGAGCGCACCAGTGAACCCAGTGTGCCCCCAGGCCTGGCAGCCGGATGGCTGATGCATGCAAAGTGGGCATCTCCTTGCCCAGCCGCCTGACCGCCCTGGCGCGGCCGAATCTGAAAGCTAATGACATTATTGTGCAGAGACACAATGTCTGTAGTCATTTGCTGACCCGAGCTTTGGTGAGAGCTTAACCCAGCATTCTCACCCTGCTTTTCGCAGGAACACAGCAGTCACTCATCTTGGCACCGGCACTTCTGGGGAAGGTATAAATGCCACCTCCCGCTGGCCGAGCTTCACAGCACTCGCAGGAGCTGGTGTTACTGGTAAGATTGCCTCCTTTGCTTGTCTTCCCTTCTTTCTGTCATCCTCACCCCTGCCGGAAAGCATGGGAGCACCTGGATTCTGACAAGTGACTTTGGGCAGAGACTTCAATGCTGTTAACTTCAGTTTTCTTTTCTGGTAAATGGGAAGGGGGTCAAAAAGGGTTCTTTATTGTGAGGATTCAAGAGAAGGTAGGTGGATCATCCAGCACAGTGCCACAGCACACAGTGGGTATTGCAGCAATGTTCTTATTGACAATATTAAACAGACCTCATTTGTATCCTTGTTTTTGTCAGTCGCTGAGAATGTAACTGGGGGTTTTGCAAGGAATCAGACTGGTGACAGTTCGGCTTTGTTTCCAGGTGGTGGTCAGTTTTCCTCCATATCTGCAATTCTGGGCCCACCCACTCTGTGCCCAGTCTCTGGGAGGTACTAGGAGGATGCAGCCTCAGGTAGCCATGACAGCTCCCAGCAACAGGTTATTTCATTTTCTGGCATGGTGAAATGACTCTAATAAACACCACAGTGCTGCCATTGCTGCATGCTGGTATTCTGGGACCAGGCCAAGTGCTTCGGTTTATACATTACATAGTGCATCCTCTAGCCTGTTCACAGGTATTGTGGAACATCATTACTGCCCCATTTTATAGAACAGGGAAGTTGAGGCACTTAGGAGAGGATGTGACCTACCCAGAGTCTGAGGCTACAGTGTGACAGCAGAACTCTGCTCCTGAACCCAGGACCAACTGAGCTTCTTCAGTCTGTGAAGACTCAGGACCCGGAAGCTGATAGGAGGCGGGACCTCAGGCACTCTGACAGGCCGAGGGCGGGCTGGCTGGTTTTCTTGAGCGGAGAGCAGTAGGTTTGGCTCCCAAGGTGCTTAACTGATTCTTCCTCCTGGAAACATCCAGTCTTGGCCTTTCGTGTGGAGGGGCTTCTGGAAACTCAGGCGTTATCTCTGAAGAGGAGGCCCAGGCTTCCCTCTCTTTACCTGAGGAGACACAGCCTGCTTTGACCACCCTCCTGCAGGAGAGAGAGGGCAACAATTTCCAGACTTTTCTGATGTTCTCAATAGCTGAGGCAGGTCTATGCTGCCTGCCACAAGTGCCTGGGTTTCTACCATTGCACCCATTTCTTCCTTTCTTATAACATGGGTTCTGTATCAGATGATTTCACTAATGGGGCGTAAAACAATGTAGAAAAAATCTAGAAGCCTGAGATAGGAAAAGTCCCAGAGAGAGAGTGGGAGAAGAAAAACCCTGAGACAAGAGAACTAATAGATTTCCTAAACTAAACTCTCATACAAATGAATAAGCCATAGACCGGGATGGGGAGAGGAGTCCCAGAGAGAGGGTGGGAGAAAGAGCACGGGGACAGGGAACTTCGTGGGTTCCTAAACTGGGCACCACCATACCACAAAATACAGACAATGCATAGGCTTTGTTTGTTCCACACAATTTTGTTTAGGAAATTTCTGCATAAAGGCAGAAGTTCTGGGATTGACTGTTCTATATTCTGCATGGTATCCATTGTCTGGGGTTGAGTGTTGGGGACCCACTTGGGACCTCATTTAAGCTCAGTTTATCACTGCCCCACTCTTTTTTTGAGTAGACTTCATTTTTCCCTCCTCCTGGCGCTGACCTGGATAGATATAAATGAAGCTAAAGACAGAAGTTCAAGTAGCTGCTTACGGAGCCCACAGCTCTGGGACAGCCTGAAACCAGGGGGAAAAGAAGAATATTTGGGGCCAGAGAGGAGTGGTCCCAAGTCCCCACAGAGTGAAAAAGTCAGTGGTCCCTCCAGGTCTTCACTGCTGCTTCCCATGTCTTCCAGGTCATTCCTGCACGGGACAGTCCACCATGGCCTCAGACCACCAGACCCAGGCGGGCAAGCCACAGTCCCTCAACCCCAAGGTGGGTACCTCTCGGAGGAGGGGGCATGCAATGCTCCTCTCCCAGACTTAGTTGCCCCTCTGTAAAATGGGCTTGGCATCTTTCTTCACAGGTACCCCCTCTCCACCCTGCCCCTCTCTGGGACTCAGTCTCCCCTACCCACACACTTGGGGCTGATTCTGAGAGTCCCTCCCCAGCCCATAGCTGGCATGCTGGGATTCCCAGTACCAGCCTCCGGCTTTGGAGACTTCAGTTTCTCTCCCTTACCTGTTTTCCCACACCCTATTGTCCACAGGGCTCCCTGAAACTGGAGTAGACCCTCATTCTCAGTCAGAGGTGGGATTAGTAGATGGAAGGTGGGTGTGAGTCCTGGCTCTGCACCTGCTGTGTGACCCGGGCCAATTATTTGATCCCTCTGAGCCTCCGTTCCATTTCTGTAAAAGGAGGAGTCAGATTTATTGCATAGGGAAGTTGTGAGAGCCAAAGAAACCAGGCTCAACCTAACACCCGTCCCAGGGTGCGCATCCACCTAACACCACCAAATAATCCCTTCTTTGATTTTTCGTCCACCTGCCCGCCCAAGGGCAGCAGGATCTTATCACAATGTCAGAGGCTTGTCACACCGAGTCTGCCCTCAAACCTCTATCGAGGAGCACCCACCTGGCTGCCCTCCTGTGCCTCTCTGCTTTGGTAACCCCAGGCACAGGTTCCTTCAGGAATGGCCCCTTGGTCTGACTCGGTACCTCCTAGGCCAGGGAAGCCTGAGCAGATGCAGCCCTTCACCTGCTCACCCCGATCTGTCCCTTATGGGCTTACTTTCCAGAAGAAGGACAGACAATAAATAAATGAATATATGATTTTCAGTAGTGAGAAGTGCTACAAATAAATGTAAACTAGGGGAAGGGGCTCCTGAGAGTTGCAATGGTTGTGTTAGCTCAGGTGTTCCAGGAGGGCCTCTCTGAGGAAGTGACTTTGAGCACACACCTGGGTCAAGTGAGGAAGCGGCTATGTAAAAATTGGGGGCGCCTTTGCGAGGCCGAGATGGGAGGACTGCTTGAGCCAAAAAGTTTGAGGCCAGCCTGGGCAACATAGTGAGATTCCATCTCCACAGAAAAATTAAAAATGGGGGTGAGGGTTGATGATAGCATCCAGACAAAAGGAACATCAGGCACAAAGACTCCAAGGTGGGAATGAGCTGGGTGAGTTTGGAAAAAAGCAAGAAGCACTGTCCACTAGACCTATGATGTGAACCATATAGGTAATGTAAAATTTTCTAGTAGCCACATCATTAAAAGTAAAAAGAAACAGGTGAAATTAATTTTCATATTATATTTTATGAAACCCAATATATCCAAAAGATGAGCATGTTAATGTATAATCAATATAAGAATTATTAGGCAGATATTTTACATTATTTTTTCCATTCTGAATTTTCAACATATGATGTGTATTTTACACTTAGAGCACAGTATAAGTAATAGTATGGACTAATTATGCGTGCTCAGTAGCCATATGTTACTAATGGCTGCTGTGTGGGACAGTGCAGTTTTAGAGGATTAGACAATTTGTAAAATGTTGCCCTCCACTCTGTCGATTAATAATAACAATGCTAGTGAGCTCCTGGGTCCTCTGAGCTTCTGGGCTTTCAAATGCATGGAGAAACTACCCTTCCTCACCTGCCTAACCCTATTCAGGTGGGCACCCCAGGCCTGCTCCCTCAGAAACTGCATTTGATCAAGATCCCAGTGTTACGTGCACAGGTTAGAGTCCACAAAGTGCTGCTTCAATTTCAGCTGCATCAGACAAGCCTGGGCTTCAGTTTCAGCTCTTCCACTTATTCACGTGGGATCTGTAGCATGTCTTTTAATTAACGTAATTATGTCTCCCACAAGCAGCACAAATACTATGTGGTAACCGCCCACAAGCCCTCGTCTCCCAGGCCGGGGTAATAATAAACTAGCCCCGAACTTCCATATTCTTGATTCCCCGTTTTACAGATGAGAGAACTGAGGCCCAGAGTATTGAATTGCTTTTTAGGTTTGCACAACTGGATGTAACAGAGGACACAATGGAGCCCTTGTCTCCTGACCCTATCTCTGGCCGAGTCAATGACCGTAAAGGGCTGGGTCACTGATTGTAAAGGCTGGATTGAGCCCATGGAATTCACCTCTAAGCCCTGTGGGGCACCCCTTTTCCTTTCTTTGTGTGGCTAATCCCAGGCCTGGGAATCAGGGCTATGTTTATCCAGCCTGTGCTGACCATGTCGATTCTGTAGCTTCCCCCACTGGGAGTGTGCTGACCTGAGCCCATCTTTTCATCCAGGGGCAGTTTGCTGGGGAAATGTGGCTGAAAAAGCTCTGCCTCCAAAATTCTCACTGGAACCATGAAAGGTGGCAGCTAGCCTCATAGTTAATTTGGATGTGGGAGATGTTGGATGGGTCTCTTCACTTTGCAGAGCTTCAGTTTCCCTGATGGGGATCTCATGAGCCCCCTCCCTTGGGCTGATAATACCAGGTGAGACAAGGGGAGTGAAGTCCTCTTAAGAAGTATTTCAAGGGGGAGCTCATAGGGACACCTGGGAATTCTGTGGAGGCTTGGAGAAAGGGCCCAGGTGTGTGTAGTTTTATGGGTGAAATGGAGGTAAGGAGTGTATATGAAGGTACTGGTACAGCTCTAATGGGAGGAGGAAAAGTTCAAACGCGTGGTCTAGCACGTCAGTACTCCTAATTTGGTCCATAAGCCACTGGCACCAGCATCACCTGGGAGATGACTGGAAATGCAGAATCCAGGGCTGCACCCCAGACCTGTTCCCTCAGAAACTGCACTTATCCAGATCCCAGGTGCTACATGCACCTGTTAGGGTTCGCAAAGTGTTGCTTCCATTACAGCTGCATCAGACAAGCCTGAGCTCCAATTTCAGCTCTGCCACTTATTGGAATCTGTACCACATCTCTTAATTAACATAATTATGTCTCCCACAAGCAGAGCAAATACGGTGTGCAAATTATGCTCCCCTGAATCCTTCTAACAAACAATATCACAAGGCAGTTTCTGTCTTTGTTTCTTTTTCTTTTTAAAAAAATTAGAAGTGGGGTCTTCCCATCTTGCCCAGGCTGGTCTGGAATTCCTGGGCTCAAGCAATCCTCCCACCTCAGCCTCCCAAAATGCTGGGACTACAGGTGTGAGCCACCACACCTGGCCTGGGTTCTGTCTTTATTTCCCATTTTACAGGTGGGGAGACTGACGCTTAGAGAGGACAAATGCAGGCTCAAGGTCCCACAGCTGCTTATAGCCAGAGCCAGGGCTGTTTGATTTTTATGTTTGATTTGTCACTCTGGAGGTGAACCCTTCAGCATCCTTTGGGTTCTCTGAGCTCCCTCCCCACGTCTATCAGCCAACTGTCACTCCTCTTCATCATGATGAGGGTCTGAGTCTCGCTTCCCGTTGCAGATCATCATCTTTGAGCAGGAAAACTTTCAAGGCCACTCGCATGAGCTCAATGGGCCCTGCCCCAACCTGAAGGAGACTGGCGTGGAGAAGGCAGGCTCTGTCCTAGTGCAGGCTGGACCGTAAGTACCTGGGTGGCCTCTCCTGGTCACAGACTTTGGGTGAGGTGATCAGGTTGTGGACTGGGGGAATCTACCCATGCTATTCTCCTGTCTGCAATCTGGGGACCAAGTTTTGGGGACTGGCAGTGTATGGAGATAATTCATGCTTTGCAGTCAGATACAGCTGGGTTCAAATCCAGGCTCCACCACTTCTGGGCTGTGTGGTGTTGGACCAGGACCTTCCCCCTCTGAGCCTCAGTTTCCTCCTCTGTAGGATAAGGATGACCATGTGCTCTGGGGATGAAGGGAAAGCGTCATGTAGAAAGCCTGATACAGAGGTCAAGGCAGGAAGATGGACATAGTGACTCATGAAGCTTTTAGAACTGCCAGTCTCTGGCTCCAGGAGTGTCCTCAATCCTGAGAGGTTTAAGGCTGGATGTCCCAGCTCTGCATCCACTCCTCCCTTCCCAAATCCTGACAATACTGGGTCTTTACAGATTTTTTGGCACACTTGGGGGCCAGGTCTGTATCCAAGAGAGAAGGGGAGCTGAATGGTTAACTCACCTTATGTCATGTAGCTGAGCATAGTCTTATGTGAGCCTGCAGAGTGTCTGGGACACAAACCACAGCTTCTCTTGTCACTCCTTCTCTGTCAAAGCCTCAGGATGTAGAAATGTCCACTGGTGGCCAGTAAGTCAGATACTGCTGGAGATCCTAAGGTGAGCCATACCACACCTCAAGGTTCTCAGGGAATTCTGCAGAGTTCCACGGCCCTACATGGGTCAGAACCTGAAGATGTGCAGAACACAGCTAAAGCAGTGGCTATGCCAAGCCTTGGTCATCTGACATGCTCAGGGAATCTGTTGCGTCCAAGAGAATCCCTTTCTGGATAACTGAGATTTGACTGTTTAAGCATCACTTCTGATTTTCAGCTGCCTTTTCAAATATTTTGATGAAAAAAACTTTCCCAAAGAGATTTTACACTCTTCTGCTTTCTTTTTTTAAAAATATAACATTTAATATTTTTATTAACTATCATTTATTGTTTAAAACTAAGAAGATATGGTTTAAGGCAAAAAACCGTATGACTTCTGTTCACTACTCAGAAGTAACCATTATTAAGATTTTGGTATGAATTTAGATTTCCTTCTCTCTCTCTCTCTGTTTCTCTCTCTCTGTTTCTCTCTCTCTCTCTCTCTCTCTCTCTTTTTGTGTGTGTGTGTGTGTGTGTGTGTATAATCAAATCAAACTTGGATCATACTAAACATGATGTTTTATTACTCACTTTGGAAATTTTACAAGGTAGCATGAACTCTCTCCATGTCATTAAATAGCATTTTATGTTGGTGCTTTTCAAAGTCGTTTGAGGAAAATTCACATCAGATTCCCAGAAGGGAGATGCTTTAAAATGGAGGTTCTCGGGCCCCATGTCAGTCCCACTAAATCAAACTTAGCTCTAGAGCCTGGAATCTGCATTTAACAAGCTTACCTGGTGATAGTTACACCAGTTACATTTGATAACCCACATCCTATGCCATTACTTACCATGGCTTTGTAACAGTCCATGATTGAATATGCCATACCCAGGCCCTGATTGTAGGATGTTTAAGTTTTTCAGTTACTGGATATTATAAACAATGCCACAATGAACATCCTTATTCAGATATCTGTGATCCCTTGACAACTGTTTTTTTGTTTGTTTTGTTTTGTTGAGATGGAGTTGTAGCTCTTGTCACCCAGGCTGGAATTCAATGGCATGATTTCAAGTCACTGCAACTTCTGCCTCCCTGGTTCAAGCAATTCTCCTGCCTCAGACTACTGAGTAACTAGGATTACAAGCATGCACCACCGTGCCTAGCTAATTTTTTGTATTTTTAGTAGAGACAGAGTTTCACCATGTTGGCCAGGCTGGTCTCGAGCTCCTGACCTCAGGTGATCTGCCCGCCTCAGCCTCCCAAAGTGCTGGGATTACAGGCATGAGCCATGGCGCCCGGCCCCTTGACAACTGTTTTCTAAGGACCCATTGCCTAAAGTAGAATTGCTGGATCAAGACTACTCTTCCAAAAGAGGATAATAAGCATGATCTCCTCTTCCATTAATAACTTAGATTATTCCTCTGAACAGCCATTATTCCACATTGCTGAAATGTTTGCCTCTGCACTGGGTGGCCCCAGAATGCTAATCATTTTGAGATTTGTGGGGTTTTTTCTCCTAATTTTTGCCTTCCTCTATTAGCCATGCCCGAACTGAAGGCCATCCCTTCCTCTTTAATGTACTATTTTTCTTCTAATGTGGATCTACAAAAACAGAGTTTGGGCAGAGTCTAACAACAGGGACAAGAGAAGAAACAGATCCAAAGAGAGGGGTTTGGGCACAACCGAGGGGTTCTGGGGTCAGTTCTCAGTGGTGAAGGCTGACTGTGCATCTGTCTCCCCAGCTCCACTTGCAGCAGTATCATAGCTTGAAATCTGCCACAGTGGGAGCATTTACACCATGGAAATTGGCAAACGCTGCAAATCAAGAGTGTTAATTTTTGTTTTGTTTTTTGAGAGTTGGCTGTTAACTTACCAGCATACTATTGGCCTTAGTGCATGGCATCTATATGTTGGTATTTGTTGCGGGCCATTATTTAGACCGCCTTCTTATTTCTTAACTGTGTTCCAGGTGGTTAAAGGCAGCATAGCACTGAGTTCTGGATAACTGGGGGGACTGTGCGCTTGGATTTGCCGTGCTAAGGTTCGGGTGGGGCTACTACATCTTGCCGAGTTGGGCAAGAGTGAACCCCAGGGGCCAACGTGAGTAGCCAGGATCCTGCCATAGGAAGCTTGGAGTGGAACTGACCTGCCCCGTTTCTCTCTGTCTCCATGGCAGCTGGGTGGGCTATGAACAGGCCAACTGCAAGGGTGAGCAGTTTGTGTTTGAGAAGGGCGAGTACCCCCGCTGGGACTCATGGACCAGCAGCCGGAGGACGGACTCCCTCAGCTCCCTGAGGCCCATCAAAGTGGTGAGCCCCCTGCCATCATTCTATTTCCTCTCTCTGCCCATCATCCTACTTTCTGTCTCTGCCACCTTGGAGCCGGAGGTCCTGAGACCAGGAAGGAGCCTGCCCCTCTAGCATTGTGCCCCTTCTGATTGGTGAGGAACCTCCTCATTGGGTGACCTTGCAAAAGTCATTTTACTTCCCTGAGCCTCAGTTTCTTCATCTGTAAAATGGGCGTATTGGTATCTACTGTCCTGAGATTCCAATGTGCTTATTAGCTTGAGGGTTGTCACGCTGCACAACTCCAGGGGGCTCCAATCACAAGACTATGAAATGCCCCAGATGGCACTATTCACATTCTATTTTACGTGGTTGGTGCCCCCCACTCCGCAGGGTTGGGCAACTCCCATCACAGAGTCGTTGCTCAATAATCAATAGCCATCAGAAATACAAGAAATTCTGAGTTCAGGACTGGAGGAGAAGGTGGTTTAACTCTTCTTCAACACTCATGCCAGTGTGAGTTTTCAGTGCTTCTGAGATCCTGATTCTTACTAGTGTGTGTGTGAACTGTCGGGGAGGGGACAGGGCCCATCACTGCTCAGTTACACTCCCAAACCCTCCAAGCCCATTCTGATTCCTCCCAGGACCTACTGGAAGGTTGGAGAACACTGGACTTCACACCCCACAAACCCAGGTTCCCATGTTGGCTGTGCTGCTCCCAGCTCTGTGACCTTGAGCACGTCATTTGACCTCTGTGCCTCGTTTTTCTCATCTGCCAAATGACATAAAAGGATTTTATGTCTAAGGGATAAGGGTTTTCTTATCTGAAAATCTTATCTTAAACTGAAAATGTTTAAAGGATTAGATAACTAAGGAAAATGTTACAGGAACAGGAGGATGGGAAGAGATGTAGAAATGAAGAAAAATCAAAATATCTCAGGTGTCTATTAGAGGCACAATTAGCCTGTGCATGTGTGTGTGTGTCTGCCTGTGTGTGCGTATGTGTGCATGTGTGTGCACGTGTGTGTGCATGTGTGTGTAGAGGCACACAATTAGCCTGTGCATGTAAAAAGGTTCACCAGTGTGCGATGTGTGCATGTGTGTGTGCACGTGTGTGTGCATGTGTGTGTGCACTCAGGTGGGTGTACGGTGTGCATGTGTGTGTGCATGTGTGTGCGCATGTGTGATGTGTGCCTGTGTGTGTGTGCCTGTGTGTATGTGTGTGTGTGCATGTATAAATGTGTGTGTGTAGCCTGTGGAGTGTGCCTGTGTGTGTGTGTGCCTGTGTGTGTGCCTGTGTGTGTGCATGTGTGGGTGTGCACTCTGTGGAGTGGGTGGCAGATCTTAGGCTGCCATTTATATAGTATAGAAACTTGAGGCATAGGAGGAAAATGATATCAGAATCAAATATTCCCCAAAGTGTTGTAGAGTGTCTGGTTACATGAAAATGGCCCAGTAGAAACTTAACAAAATGGAAGCCATCCAACAGCAGTTGTCATAGACACGGTAGTGCACTGGGCAGAGAGTGATGTGGACATGATCCTAACTCTGGGGCATGAGCATGGGTGGAAGCGCCAACCCTGGGCCCCATCACCTATACCTACTTTCACATCCTCTGGGCCAACAGGACAGCCAAGCAAACACAAGATTATCTCCTCTGGCCACTAAACCCCAAACTTCACCGGAAGAAGATGGAATCATGATGACGACGTACTCCAGCTTCCAGCACGCCCATGGCTGGGCCAGGAGAAGGTGTGTCATTCAGTGGTGCAGAGTGGCATCTAAGTGCATTGCCAGCCCTGGCTCACCCCTGCCCAGAACTGAGACTCTGGGGGTCCTAAGTCCCGCCTCCGCTCCTGTGTACACTGGTGATCTTGCACACATCGGTGTACTCTCTGCTGACCTCTGGCTTCACACTGGAAAGTAAATGGAATTCTCTGCCTCAGGTGGGCTTTACAGCCCCCAACCCCTCTCTCTCTCTAGAGCTGCCTTGGGGAAATGGGCCTTGGAGGTGGAGGAAACCTGGCCTTTATCTCAGCCCCAGGGGCAAGACACATGAAGGCCAGAGGGGCAAGCTGAGGCAGAGGGAGGATTAGTTGAGGCAGGAGGGGAAACGAATGAGCTGGACTAGTCTGAAAGCTGCAGAAGTAGGAGGACCAGCCATGCTGTGCCTTTGACCAGCATGTGTCCCTAAGTTTGGGAACAGGAGGTGTCATTTTCCACTGAATTGAAGTTCCTGAACACGAATTCTGGCCATCAGCAATGAAGGATTTCTCATGGTAAAAATTTGATTCCACAGGGGGTTCCAAGCAGATGAGCTTTGGGCAGGGTGTGTTGGAAATAGCTTATCAGCTTTTTTTTTTTTTTTTTTTTTTAATTGAGATGGTCTCGCCCTGCTGTGCCTGGGCTGGAATGGTGGAACACCTTGGCTCACTGCAGCCCCGCCTCCCAGGTTCAAGAAATTTCTCCTGTCTCATCCTCCCAAATAGCTGGGATTACAGGTGCCCACTACTAAAGCTCAGCTAATTTTTGTGATGTTAGTAGAGACAGGGTTTCACCTGTGTGCTGGGCCAGGTTAGTCTCAAACTCCTGACCTCATGATCTCAAGCCTGCCTTAGCCTCCCAAAGTGCTGGGATTATGGGAGGCTTTGAGCCAAACGGGCCAGCCTGGCAAAACCAAGCCTCAGCATTTCCTAGAATCAGTGAACTGGTTGACTCACCACTGGTAGCCTGAAACCAGCCACAGTGGTACTTACAGCATAGAAATCAGCAAGCAAGTACGACTAAAGGCTCTTTCCCAACAGAACCGGGAAGGTTTAGCCAAGCATACTGGCTTCTTGGGTTTGTCAAACTCGTAAAGTGGTGTGCAAAGTTCTGTGCTTCTTGTTCCTCTCATTCCCTATTCCTTTCATTCATTCATTCATCTATTCATTCAATATTCATTCATTCATTCAATTTGTCAGTGCTGCCATATGCCAGGCATTGTGTTAGTGCCCAGGTGAAGGGAGAGATTAAAGAGATCTGTCAGCTTTCTTCCCGTGATAACAGTCTAGAATGGGCAACTGTTAATAATTTAAGAATCCACATAAGTCTAAGCTACTTCCTTGAGAAAGACTTTGAGCTGAGATCTCAAGAGCCAGTAGGGAATTGCGGGATAAAGAGGCCAAGGAAGAGCGGGCCCCAGACAATGAGAGCAGGCATGTAAAGGCCCTGTGGTATGGGGGAGCCTGAAACTGAGAAACTCTACAAAGGCCACTGGCTGAATGCAGAGAGATGTGGGAGCATAAGAATGAAGTAGAGGCTGGAGATATGTCCACAGAGACTGGCCAGGCAGGTCCTTGCAGGCCAGGCCTGTGTGCCATTCTTGGAGAGAAGACCAGTACTTTCATTAAGTAGCCCCTTGAACCTCTTTCCATCAGAAGACCTGGAACCTCCCCAACTCTCGGCCTCTGCAGCTGGGCTTGAGGTGGAAATAGGAGGATGGAGAGATGGTTCAAAGGTCTGGCTTATTCTAAACTTCAGTGAGCTTAAGATACCACCCCTTTCCTCTGACCCTAACAGCTCCTCTCAGGCCAAAATTTGCTTTTCCAGAGGCAGAACTCCCCATCAAGAGAAGGAAGAAAGGGGGAGGCTCAGTGCTGGAAGGTGGAGGCAAAGGGTATCCTGCTTACTCCCAAAGGGCAGTGGTTGGGAGGCTTCACCCTTCCTAGTGGTTTATGGATGCTCTCTCCCCTCGCTTCTCTCTTGTTTCTCTTCCTGTTCCCCTGGTTCACCCTCCCCTCACCTCTGGTCCTGCAGGTGGGTTGGCTACCAGTACCCCGGCTACCGCAGGCTGCAGTACCTGCTGGAGAAGGGAGAGTACAAGGACAGCAGCGACTTTGGGGCCCCTCACCCCCAGGTGCAGTCTGTGCGCCGCATCCGCGACATGCAGTGGCACCAACGTGGTGCCTTTCACCCCTCCAACTAGTACCCTCCCCACCATGCCTCTTTCCCAGGACCCAGATCTGCTGCCCAGGAACCCTCCAGACCAACCAGAGAGTGAATAAAGTGTGACTTGCAACTTGTCTGCTGTGGGTCTTTGATCCCCCCAGCAGCTGGGGTGTGTGTGTGTGTGTGTGTGTGTGTGTGTGTGTGTGTGTGTGTGTGAGAGAGAGAGAGAGAGAGAGAGAGAGAGAGAGAGAGAGACAGTGAGAGAGAAATGAGAATCAGCATGTATCTGGGCTAGGGGTAGGGCAACAGAACCCTTATTGAATCTTACGGTTCTGCAGCTGCTTAGCTGTGTGACTTTGGACACAGTGCCCAACCTCTCTGAGCCTTTGTTTCTTCATCTGACTTGAAATTCCCTTGCCTCTGAGTGGCTGGCTTGGTTGAGCTCCTGAGCCCCCTGTTACATGCTGGTTGCTGAGCACAGTCATTCTCAGGGGCATGTGATGGGTGCCCCAGCCCTTAAAAATGTGTTCACTGCCCGCCATTCTCACATTATCACATTATCCCCTTGAGTCTGGGAGTCTTTTTTGATTTGCAAGAGAAGCCAAGAACCCTGAAACCCGTACTCCAGCCCAGGGAAAGGTCAGAATGCCATGTTTGTGAGTGCGTTCATTCATTCATCATATGGCTGTGGGCAACTGTTAGTAATTTCAGAAGCTACACAACATCTGAGCTACTTCAATGAGGAAGAGACTACTGAGCTGTGAGGATCTTGGTTGTAGCCAGGCTCAAGGTGATGCAATGACCTGGGAATGAAGGCTGGGTTTATACTGCTGTTCTGGGGCATTGGCCAGGGATAGAGGCTCAGGCAAGTCCTTTTGCCTTCAGAGCTTTGATGCTTCTACTCAGGAAGATGGGAGAGAAACAGTACCTTCCTAATGGGATGGTGACAAGGCTGAAACGAGATGCTGCAGGCCTTCTGTCTTTAGACTCAGAGAAACAGTACCTTCCTAATGGGATGGTGACAAGGCTGAAACGAGATGCTGCAGGCCTTCTGTCTTAGACTCAGCTTCTCAATATGCAGTGCAAATATCTGCTTCCTGGGTGCAGCCTCTCGCCACTTTGTTTTTGGTATCTCTTGGGATGCTGCCATTTTAAATTTTAATGTAGTCAAACAGCAATAATATTAGGGTTTATGCCTTTCATATCTCCTCTCTTGAAGCAATTCTTCTTTTCTTTCTTTTTCTTTTTTTTTTTTCCCCAAGACAGAGTCTTGCTCTGTTGCCCAGGCTGGAGTGCAGTGGTACAACCTTGCCTACTGCAACTCCTCGCCTCCCGGGTTCAGCAGTTCTCCCGTTTCAGCCTCCCGAGTAGCTGGATTACAGGCATGCACCCACCATGCCCGCCTCAAATTTTGTACTTAGTAGGGCTTCACCCATGTTGGCCAGGCTGGTCTTGAACCACTGAACTTGTGATCCGCCAGCTTTGGCCTCCCAAAGTGCTGGAATTACAGGAGTGAGCCACTATGCTCACAACTTGAAGAAATTTTCTAATCCCTGGTTACAAAGAAATTCCCAATATATTTCTTTTTTTTCCCCAAACTTTAAAACTTCTTGCTCTTCATGATTTATGCTTCTTAATCCTTCTGGAGCTGATTCTTGCATGTAGTGTATGGTAGAGATTCAGTTTCCTTTTCTTTTTTTTTCCCACTTTGGACATCCGATGTCCTAAAATCATTCGTGAAGGAGTCCGTTTGCTGCACTGCGGCGCAGTCACCTTGCTGTCCTATTCCCTTCCCCGCAGGTGGGGTGATTTTATGGGCTGTCTTTTCTGTTCCTGTAGTCAGTGTATCCCTGCACTCTTGCCACTTTATGTTCATGACTACTGCTTTGTAGTCAGTGTTGAGGTCCCTAAAACAGGGGCCCTCAAACCCTGGGTCTCCCATGGCCGGAAATGGGGGTTGCACAACAGGAGGTGGGCATTGCAGCCTGAGCTCCGCCTCCTGTCAGACCAGC